AAATACCTGAGCTTCAGACACAGGCGAAGGTTGCGGCAAAGCCGTAAGGCGTGTCTCCTCTTACTCTGTTCTTTAGTTATTGGGCATGCTTTTCTTTCTGCTCTCCAACAACGTTTCCTTCTGTGAAATCACAGGACGCTGCCTCTCCTGCTGTCACTGGCTACATCTTTCAGCAAAGCTCTTCCTTAGGAGCAACAGTCATCGACTGCCATCTGTGTGAGCCCGGGAGGGCGACAGTGTGTTGGAGTCTGTAGTGAGTCCACGTGTGATCCTTGTGGTCCACATCAAGTCATTGCCCCCAGCCCCACCCAGAATTTGAAGGTGATATTAAGCAAGTTGGAATCTGGTGGTTCTGTTAGTGAATATTTTAAATGGATAATCCAGAATGTTACTAACAGCTTCATAGCCTTTTCTGTTTTGTTTTTGGTGGTGTTGTTACTGCTGCTACTGTTCGTTTTCGTTTTTTGGTTTTTGGTTTGTTTGTTTCGTTTGTTTTAAGAGAGTGTCTCACTAGATAGTTACTGAATTATAACTCATTTTGTAGACCAGGCTGGCCTCAAAGTCACAGAGATCCGCCTGCCTCTGCCTCCTGAGTGCTGGGATTAAAGGTGTGCGCCGCCACCACAACTAGCCCTCAGGCTTCACATTCTTTTTGGAATGTGTTAGTTTCTTGTCTCATATTTTATTACAATACTTTCTCATTGCACACATGCACACACACACACTTATTCATTGTAATACAGTTCATCTTTAGATTATCTTTTGTTAAAAAGCTTTATTGTAAAATTCAGAAAAGGGGCAAGAGTGAGACATGTAAGTAGAGTTAGGAACTAACAAATCCTTGCAAATTAAAGGATGATACAAACCAAGAAAGTTACGTTGCATCACTGATAGTTGCTAGTGAGAAAGTTTCAAACACGCCGTCTAAATTATGTAACTCTGAGGCTGTGGGTGGGGACAGGTGTGTGGAATCCCAGTGCTTGCTCCCTAGAGACAGGTGAGCAGGAGCTCAAGGCTAGACAGGGATACATGTGCCCTGTCTCAAAAAAAATTTTATGCCAGGTGGCGGTGGCACATGCCTTTAATCCCAGCACTTGGGAGGCAGAGGCAGGCGGATCGTTCAAGGCCAGCATCTCAGGCTTTTTAACTTGGTTTCTGGAAATTGAACTCAGGTCATGAGGCCACATGAATACCAATTCTGTCCACTGAGTCATCTAGGTTTTGAGACTGTTAGACTCTGACTCTTTAAATTCATTATTCAAACCGATGCTTTATTAAATTATTTTGGATTGCTATTTGTGGGTATTCAGTAAAACAGAAAACTTCTGGGCAGGCAACCACAAGGCATGGTTGGAAGCTATACCCCATTATCCAGCTGTGAGATTTCTCGGTTATTTAACTTCTGGGGAATCACAAGAACGTTACCTGGATGCAGATGATATTATTACTCTATAAACTGTCTTGTTTTGCTTTGTTTTTTTCTAATTTTGTTTTCAACTAAAATATTTGCCCATTTTTCTCTCTCATATCTCCAGCCATTCCTATGACCTCCCTAAAATGCATGGCCTCTTGTTCTTCAATTAATATATATTAGCCAGGCGGTGGTGGCACACGCCTTTAATCCCAGCACTCGGGAGGCAGAGGCAGACGGATCTCTGTGAGTTCGAGGCTGGGCTCCAAACAATACAGAGAAACCCTGTCTCGTAAAAACAAAAAAAATTAATATATATTATATTAATATGTAATATAATATATTATATATTAGTCTATGATTTTTCTACTGCACTCCAATGAGGGAGAGGCTGCAGTGTTACTGTCTCGGTGCTGAGTCTGAAGCCAGAGCATTGCATATACTTCTCTATGGAGCCTCAGCTCCACCCAAATGAGGCTTCACCAGGAATTGGTTTCTTTCCCTTTCTGCCATGCTTCTTCCTTCCTCTCTCCCCTCAATTCTCTGCTCTTCCCTCCTTCTTCATCTCCCCATGTCTGTCCTTGAAAGGCATTAAATTGTCTCAGGCGAACCATGTCTGGGGATATTAATAAATCAAACTACATCATAGAGTTGTTGCTCTATAGATAACAACCTTCATTCTTAAAAATCTATGACAGCCGGGCATTTGTGGCACACGCCTTTAAGACCAGCACTCGAGAGGCAGAGGCAGGTGAATTTCTGTGAGTTCAAGGCCAGCCTGGTCTACAGAGCGAGTTCCAGGACAGCCTCCAAAACAATACAGAAAACCCTGTATCAAAAAAACAAAAAAAGGGCTGGAGAGGTGGCTCAGAGGTTAAGAGCGCTGCCTGCTCTTCCAGAGGTCCTGAGTTCAAGTCCCAGCAACCACATGGTGGCTCACAACCATCTGTAATGAGATCTGGTGCACTCTTCTGATATTTAGGGATACATGGAGGCAGAATGCTGTACACATAATAAATAAATCTTTAAAAAAAATCTATGACAATGGCCATGACCCAGAGGGAACAGCATTGACAGTCAGAGGGGAAGGGAAGCTTACCTATTCATATTTATAATTAACTGAGAAGAAAAAGAAATAAATGACAGGAAAATCTTGCACCTAGAATGGCTTCACGTCAAATAGACATTCAGTGTTACAAATAGGACTGTGTCCTTCATTGCTCCTAGTAAGAAGCCCTGTCATCCAAGGACAGGCTTAAGAAATAACTGTTCTCTCCAGCTCTGTGTGGGTGGGCTGCAGTTCACACTGAGAATGAACTACAACTCACTAGCAATGGTAACTTCTGCACAAGAAATTACTCCTTCTGGACAGTAAAGAACATTCTCCACTGGGGTGTAACTCAGGATAGACCCTTGCCTCCCATACCTAAGAGCCTGGATCCAATGCTCAGCACTGGGGTTAGAAGAGGAGGAGGGAGGGGGGAAGAAGGACGAGGAAGAAGAAACTAACATTCCCTAACATAAAAAAACAGTGTGACAACTGTCTAATTGTGGGTCCACGGGACCTGATACATTCTTCTGGCTTCCATGGGCACCGGTCATGCAAGTGGTGCACATATGTACCTTCAGACAAAGCATTCAGATACATCAAATAAACATTAATAAATCTTTTTAAAAAATAGTGTGAAGGACTGGAGAGATGGCTCAGAGATTAAAAGCACTGACTGCTCTACCAGAGGTCCTGAGTTCAATTCCCAGCAACCACATGGTGGCTCACAACCATCTGTAATGAGATCTGGTGCCCTCTTCTAGCCAACAGGCTACATGCAGACAGGACACTGTATACATAATAAATAAATCTTTTTTAAAAATAGTGTGAAAAGTAAGAATTTAGGGAAATAGCCGGGCGTTGGTGGCGCACGCCTTTAATCCCAGCACTTGGGAGGCAAAGGCAGGCAGATCTCTGTGAGTTCGAGGCCAACCTGGTCTACAAGAGCTAGTTCCAGGACAGCCTCCAAAGCCACACAGAAATCCTGTCTCGAAAAACCAAAAAAAAAAAAAAAAAAAAGAATTTAGGGAAATATGTAACAGGGAACAGGGGAGTGAAGACACAGATTCAGAAAGAAAATGGAGTGAAACTGGATCAATATATCCTCATTACTACCTAAAGGAAAAGGCCGTGTATCTAAAGAGAGTGTGGAAGTGTCCCTCACAAAGTGGTAGTTTGCCAGACCAAATGCCTCAGAACTTCAACAGCCCAGATTAAATATGTTGTATCAAATTCCCTTTGCCCCTAAGATAGGTGGTGGCAGCGCACATCTTTACTCTGAGCACAAGGGAAACAGAGGCAGGAGGATCTCTGTGAGTTTGAGGCAAACCTGGTCTACAGAGTGAATTCCAAGACAGCCAGAGCTGTTACACAGAAAAACCCTGTCTCAAAAAAAAAAAATCCTGGGCTGGGGAGAGGGCTCAGTGGTTAAGAGCACTGACTGCTCTTCCACAGGTCCTGAGTTCAATTCCCAGCAACCACATGGTGGCTCACAACCGTCTGAAATGAGATCTGGTGCCCTCTTCTGGCGTGCAGGTAGAACACTGTATACATAATGAGTAATAAAATCTTTTTTTTTAATCCCTTTGCTCCCACTCAAAATAAAGAAACATAAACACAGTTCCTAATTTTATTTCTAATAATGACCAAGTAAGTGTCCAGGTAGTAGACTCACCATTTCAGTCACAGCAATGAGCTGTCTTAGTGTTCCTTTGGTTTATCATTCTCTTAGGTACTGGAATGGTGCCAAATGATTTCCCAGAGTCTTATTGAGGAAAAGACATGGCCGACTAAGCCTTCTAATTGTAAACACAATAACGCTATGACTCAGGAGCCCCAGAAAGCTAGAACACCAGTGACATGCAGATTACCCAAGCACACTTAACGAGGTGACGCTGCTGGCCTAGTTGGGAACGTACCACAGAACTGAAATGGGAACCTAGGCCCAGCTTGGCTCATCGAGTTTGGAGAGTATGTAGGGAAATTGGAATCGGTAACTCACTAACACAGTGTTCCCTTTCTGAAGCGCAGTTGTCACAGTTTACCTGTGTTAGCCTGTTGGCTTTCATTTCTTTTCTTTGTTTTCTCAGCCAGCTCAGGCTGGCTCAGACTCTCTATGTGCCTGACGAAGATCTTCCAATCCTGATCCTCCTGCCTCTACCATTGAAGTGCTGGAAATAAAGGTAACCTTGAACTATCATGATATTTTTAGATTTGTGTGGCTTCTTAATAAAAATTAACTGCCACGATTTGGTCATTATAATGTGATTGTCAGCATGTGCTACAAAAGGAGAAAGAGAGAGACAGAGAGAGAGAGACAGACAGAGAGAGAGAGAGACAGACAGAGAGACAGAGAGAGAGACAGAGACAGAGAGAGAGACAGAGAGAGAGAGACAGAGAGAGAGAGTATGGTCACGTCTCCACAGAACTTCCCCACCACAGCCCCAGGTTCCCTCAGTCTCCCTTCTTCAGTCCCCTCACTTCCAGGCCACCTATGCTAACCCCTACTTGTCTGTCCTCTAGGTAACATATCTCCCAAAGATGGAAAGAGTCAACTACACACTCTTGACTGAGTTCATCCTGACAGGAGTTCCCCACCCTCCCAGGCTAAGGACATTCCTCCTTGTGTTCTTTGTGCTAATCTACCTCCTGACTCAGGTGGGGAACCTACTCATCCTGGTCACTGTCTCTGCAGACTCACAGCTCCATGCACGGCCCATGTACATCTTCCTCGGTGCCCTCTCCATCATCGACATGGGCATCTCTACCATCATTGTCCCCCGGCTGATGTTGAACTTCACTCCAGGCGTTAAGCCCATCCCATTTGGGGGCTGTGTGGCTCAACTTTATTTCTATCACTTTCTGGGCAGCTCCCAGTGTTTCCTCTACACCACAATGGCCTATGACAGGTACCTGGCAATATGTCAGCCCCTGCGTTACCCAGTACTCATGTCTGCTAAGCTGAGTACTTTGCTGGTGGCTGGGGCTTGGGTGGCTGGCTCAATCCACGGAGCAATCCAGGCCATTCTAACCTTCCGCTTGCCCTACTGTGGTCCCAACCAGGTAGATTACTTCTTCTGTGACATTCCTGCAGTTTTGAAGCTAGCCTGTGCTGATACCACAGTCAATGAGTTGGTGACCTTTGTGGACATCGGAGTGGTGGTTGCCAGTTGTTTCTCCCTGATCCTTCTCTCCTACATCTATATCATCCGGGCCATCCTGAGAATCCGCACGGCTGACGGACGGCGAAGGGCCTTCTCAACATGCGGAGCCCATGTGACTATTGTCACCGTCTACTATGTGCCCTGCGCCTTCATCTACCTGCGACCTGACAGCCACAGTGTCTTGGATGGGGCGGCCGCTCTCTTCCCCACAGCCGTCACTCCTTTCCTCAACCCCCTCATCTACACTCTGAGGAACCAGGAGGTGAAGCTGGCCTTGAGGAGAATGATAGGAGGCCAGAGGGCTAAGAGTGAGGTGTGAAGACCTCTCCTCTACTGACGAGACACACGGGTTTCAGCTTGGGTTTCACAAGGCTTCCTTCTTGGGTTTCCTCAACTACGTAGACACACGGATTCGTACAATGAGAGGAAACATGGATGAAGACAAAAACACGACTTCCTAGGAGTTTCCCAGTTTCTGTTCCACACAAACAGCTCCCAGGTGCCACAGGAGTAGACAGTAACACACAATTACCCAACCAGGCCGGCACACTTGACATTCTTAAAGCATCCGATGAGACTTTGGTGTCCTGGTTATCATCAGTTAAGTCCTTCTACTATAGTCTGCAGTTCCCAGTTCAATATATGCCTCAAGACCATGTGTTAGACAAGGAACTTTAGGGATGCTTGCTGGCTTCCTAACAGGCCTTACTGGGGATTCCCTGTGGCCACCCCAGGTAGGCAAATGGGTGAAGAGGGTCTCTTGCCTGCTTGAGGAATAAACCTTCTCTTGAAATGGTGCTTTTTCAAATTAAACAACCCAGAAGACAGAGTGCAATGTGGTCTTTTCAAATAATATATTTCTCAATGCCCAAAGGAAAAGCCTATTGTGAAATTTTACGTGAAGAGAAAACTAGGAAGTGGACCAGAGCACCTTTGTAATTAGTGCAAAGGAGCACCTCATGGTCTATGTGAGATGAACAAGCTCTCACTGAGTTGCCATGGCCTACAAGTGTGAGCAAATTTCGTGGGACCTCTGGCTTGGGCCCATGAGCACCTACATATTTTGCTATGTTTCTGTTTTGTCCTCTAGCTTTTCAAGTTGAATAGTCACTATATCCACATGGTGAAAGCTCAGCGCCTACACTGCCGAGTCTCTCAGTTAATCTTGGTCCTATGAATGTTCATCCCCAAGGGACTCACCACTAGTTCATCTAACTCTGCAAATAGACAGAACCTAACCTTCCCCCTGAGATGAGGCTAATCCTCAGTGTTTTGCTCAGAAAACAGGCAGTCCACCAAGCATCAGATTCCTCCCACCGTAATGTACTTATACACTCTCCTTTCCATATTTGCTATATGGATGAATAATACATTATAAAAATAAGTTTAAGGTCAGGCAGTAGTGGAACATGCCTTTAATCCCAGCACTCGGGAGGCAGAGGCAGGTGGATCTCTGTGAGTTCGAGGTCAGCCTGGTCCACAGAGCAAGTTCCAGGACAGCCTCCAAAACCCTGTCTCAAAAAAAAAAAAAGAGCCGGGCGTTGGTGGCGCACGCCTTTAATCCCAGCACTCGAGAGGCAGAAGCAGGCGGATCTCTGTGAGTTCGAGACCAGCCTGGACTACCAAGCGAGTTCCAGGACAGCCTCCAAAGCCACAGAGAAACCCTGTCTCGAAAAACCAAAAAAAAAAAAAAAGAAAGAAAGAAGAAAGAAAGAAAGAAAGAAAGACCCCCAAAAAAGGGAAAAAAGACATGTAATAGTTGTTTTGTGTGTCTTTATTATGTCTAACAATGATCTCCAGTTTCATCGTTTTCCTGAAAATGTCATAATTTCACCTTTTCATCACCTTTTGCAAGCATGAGGCTCTTTGTGGGATCTCCAGCGTCCCTACACACCCCCCAAAAAGATTTTTTTGGATTAGAAAAGAAGCCATCAGGCCAGGCAGTGGTGGCACACACCTTTAATCCCAGCACTCGGGAGGCAGAGACAGGTGGATCTTTGTAAATTCAAGGCCAGCCTGGTCTACAGAGCAAATTCCAGGACATCGGGGACTACACAGAGAAACCTTGTCTCAAAAAACCAAAAGAAGAAAAAGAAAAATATATTTTAACTGTGTGTGTGTGTGTGCTTGTGTGTTGGAGTATGTGCGTGTAAATGGAGCTGTCTATGGGAGCCTGAGGCTTTAGATCTCTAGGAGCTGGAGTTAGAACCAGTTGTGAGCCGCCCGGTGAGCAAGCTGGAAACAGAATCCAGGTCCTCTGCAAGAGCAGTACACCGTCTTAACTCGAAGCCATCTCTCCAGTCCTTAATACAATGTTTAACTCCTAGTATAATTTATGCTAAGGATGTGTCAAATGTATCAGCTGCGCTTTCCTAGGCAAGAGGCAGAAACTTCAGATGTTTTCTTTAATTAGGTCGTCTCTGGGTGGTAGTTTGACATTTCTACCACCAGGTGGCAATGTCCTACTGCCTTCCACCTACTCACTGGGCAAGCCGAAGTCGGCTTAGCCCCTTCTGAATACACACGTAAACACTTGCTCAACGTGAGAGAATACAGGGCAAACGCAGGCAGTCTAGCAGCGGCTGCCTCTTCCTCCCTTTTTTTTTCCCCCTCAGTCTTTGGTTTCCATAGGAACCAGTGTTTGACAGGCATCTCGGAAACGTTTGCGCTTCTCCCGGCTTCTGAGCAAAAGTAGAAACAGCAATCTTTGAAAACTGGAGAGAACGCGGTAAAATGAACCAGAGATGCCTAGGGCCACAGGAGGCATGGTGGGAAGGCTGCACAGAGAGCTGTGAAAGGCAGATAATGCTCTCTGGCACAAAAAAGAAAAGGGGGAAACTTGGTATTTGGCTTACTTCTGTGGGGGCGCCGTTCAGTTGTTTGGATTTTTTTTTCCTCTTATTTTTTTTTTTAAAGGAATTGTTTTGTTCTTTAGCTCTCATGGCCTGGCTGGCCAGCCACTAAAGTACCCAATAGACCCAAGAGACTCTCGGTCGATGGTAGAATTCACCTTCTGAGGTAGAACAGGAAAATACGTTTACTGAGTACACTGAACACCTGACATTGACCCTCGGCCCCGCCCCGCCCCCCACCCTCCTGTGCACACAGACACACACCTAACAACAGGTTTCCAAGTCTTACCCTGTGAAGTCTTTGTGATCTGCCTTTAATCTAAGCAGTGTTCTCTGCAGCTAGGAGTGAATTTTCCTTTCCCTAAAGATGAGAGGACCCGTTGGTTGCCTACCCCGGACAGCAGCTAGCAGATGCGGGGAGCTTCGAAGACTGCCAGGCCCTAGGCCAAAAGCTTTCACTGAATTCTGTTAAACCTCCACCACGATCCTGGAAAGTAAGTGCTAATAGCCTGAATTTGCATAGGAAGAAACCAAGACCCATAGAAGTTAAATAAAATGCCTAAGGTCATGAAGGTGTAAAGTGGTGGCAATTTAAATGTAAATCTAAGCCAGGCTACAGAGTAGTCATTGTGTCTAGAGGAGATCTGTTTGTAAATAAATGTGCTAGAGTTCCAGTTTCGTCATTTATGGCTTGTTACTTTAAGCCAATATAAAGGAGAATGCTGGATATCTGTATAAGCTATGGGGAAAAAAACTGTCTCTCACATAATGTACCTGTTTTCCAAGGGCTATTTCTTCATCCTCTTTTCTTTCAGACTCCCACTAACTAACACACACACACACAAAGTCGTTGAACAAGATATAATCAGGTCATTGAGTGTGTCCCACGTCATGTCCAGTCTCTGTCCCCAAATCCACCGTCCGTCCCCTCACCTCTGTCTACTTCTTCATGTCCCCGCTACCCTGTCCACAAGTGCTATCAAAGCCAGGCCTGTTAGCTCACTCCAGTAATCGAAGCACCTAAGAAACTGAGGCAGGCAGATTGTCGTTTGGTTCAAGGTCAGCCTGGGCTACACTGTGAGTTCCGGGGCAGCCTGGGTTAAAAAGTCATCCTGCTCTCTTCTACCAACTGTCACTGCCTCCAGAACTTCTTGTCTTGCCCTTTAGGACACCTCAAAAAGAATTCTCTACCTGCTTACAGGGAGAGTCCCCCTGGTTTCTCAGAAGTATGTATGCAAGTATCCCTGAGAAAGTGCCGGTGGTCACGGAATTTATGAACTGAGCAAACACTAAGCGCTCACTCACTGAAGGCTCACTCTGCACGGTGGCACCCATCACTCTCACCTAATGCTAACGGGTGGTGGTGGTGGAGACTGGGTGCTGGAGATTTAACTCAGAGCTTTGTATACGCAAAGCTCACTGCTACAATGTTAAAATCACAACAGGCTAGTCTACTTTTGCTCTTAGCCAGGGACCCAGAGGCAGTCCAGCCCTTTTCGGATACCTGCCTCTCCCTGTGGAGGACAGAGCTGTGACACAGCTGAAGTAGCAAAGCCTTAGACCTTTCTTTTCTTTTTCTCTGCTTCCCTCTTTATCTCCCTTTTCTCCTGCTTTTCCAGTTTCTGTTTAGTTGGTTGGTGGGGGGAGGGTGTTGTTTTGTTTTCTTCTGTTTGAGACAGGATCTCACTCTGTAACCACGATTGGCCTAGAACTCACTATGTAGACCAGGCTGCCCCCACTCAAACTATATGCTTTTTGTTTTTTGTTTTTTGTTTTTTTTTTTTTGGTTAGTTGGTTGGTTTTGGTTTTTTTTAAAGATTTATTTATTTATTACACATACAGTGTTCTGCCAGAAGAGGGTACCAGATTGAATTGGGGTACCAGATTGAATCGTAGATGGTTGTGAGCCACCATGTGGTTGCTGGGAATTGAACTCAGGACCTCTGGAAGAGCAGTCAGTGCTCTTAACCTCTGAGCCATCTCTCCAGCCCCTGGTTTTGTTTTTTGAGACAGGGATTCTCTGTCCTGGAACTGTAAACTGGGCTGGCCTTGAACTCACAGAGATCCACATCCTGAGTGTTGGGATTAAAAGCAGGCACCACCAATGCCTGGCTGCCTTCATTTCTTATAACATGGGTGTTAGAGGCTGAAGATGTAGCTCAATTAGTGGAATTTTATGTAGCATTCATGAAGACCTGAGTTTAATCCCCAGCCCCCAATAAAACCTGGAGTGATGGTGAAGCCTGAAATCTTAGCACCCCAAGATAGAAGCAAAAGGTGCAAAGTTCAATGTCATACTCAACTGAATAGTAAGTCTGAAGCCAGTCTGGGACCCTGTCTCAAAAATAATGACAATAATAACTATTAAAACATATTAAAATAATACTTACTTTATAAGATTGTGCCAATAAATGCAACAAAGAGATGTTAAGGAGACAGAGGCAAGCTGAAATCTGTAAATTTGAGGCCAGCCTGGTCTACATATAGCCAATTCTAGGCCAGATATGTCTACATAGTGAGACTCTATCTCAAAACAAACAAAAACTCAAGTCTAACCAATTACAAAACAGCTGCATAAGGCTAGGAGAGAGACTCAGTGGTAGAGTGTTCTGGTAAAGTGTCCGGCAATGAGTAAGGTACCAGCTTCCATGTCCAACACTGGAGAAAAAGTTAGAAATTCTTAAAAACTACACAATGGAGACCGGGTGGTGGTGGTGGGTGGTGGTGTTGCACGCCTTTAATCCCAGCACTCAGGAGATAGAGACAGGCGGATCTCTGTGAGTTTGATGCCAGCCTTGGTCAGCAAAGCAAGACAGGCTCCAAAGCTACACAGAGAAACCCTATCTCCAAAAACCAAAAAAAAAAAAAAAAAAAAAAAAGGAGAAAAAAGAAAGAAATAGCCAGGCATTGGTGGCGCATGCCTTTAA